GGGGGTACACTCTTCCTGAAATAGCCATTCCATTCAGCTCTGGGTGACCGAAGGAGGTACAACCATGGTGAGCGGTGCTTTCCTTGGGGGCAGCCATGGGCATTGCTTCACATTTGCTGGAGCTGAGCATCTACAATGTGCCACACAGGCATAGGTGCTGGGATATAAGTCCCTGCCTTCTTGGACCTTAAATCCAAGAAGGAGCAACAGTGAATACATAGACAGCTGATGTGCATTCTTCTAGTGCCTAAGGATGAATAGCAATGGCAGAATGAGCAGGGTGTGGGACACAGAGTGGTGACCAGGAAACCCAGGATAGTCTCCCAACTTCTGATGGAGAGACCAGGGACCTGCGTGAAGTGAGGAACTTTAGAAGGTGTACAAGAACTGTGTTGCTGGCAGAGTATACGGACTCAATATTTGTATCCCCATACTCCAAATTCGTATGTTTAAGCCTTAATCTGCAATGTGATGGTTTTTGTAGGAGAGATTTTTGGGAGGTAACTAGGATTAGTTGAGGTCATAAGAATCAGTATCTTAAGGCTGCCTAGTCTAGTTATTCTGWTATGGAAGCCTGAGCTGATGGAGACACAGATCCAAGGCTCAACAACACACAGACAGCAAGGCCCAAGGCTCTGAGTAGGGAAGCGCCTGGTAGCTCTCAGGAGGAGCAGGAGGGTGGATGATTTGCTCTCAGGATGTGGAAAAACTGGAGGGAGGCAGGGGTCCCAGCAGGATAATGCAATTGGGGTATCTTTTCTGCAGGGGTCAACTGAACAGTTAAGGGGGCAGGGAGATAATGTGATCTGTTTCCCAATTTTAAGGGATGGTTTTGGCTTGTTGTGGAGGAAGCAAGGGACATTGATTAGGAGGTGAGAGGATGGTGACTTGAATAGTGTGATACAGGTGGGAGTCTGAGACGTAGGATTTGCTGATGGATGAGGGAGCAAAGAATGACTGCTAGATTTTTGGTGAACTTGGGTGAAGCCCTAGGACAGGAGCAGGAAGGTGTGTGTGTGTGTGTGTGTGTGTGTGTGTGTGTGTGTGTGTGTGTGTTCGTTCCTAGGTGAAATCAGATAATGAAGAAGCTTAGCCACAGGACTCTGGATTCAGGGAAAAAATCCATCCTGGAGGTCATGTTTGCAATTTATTAGTAACAGGGACTTCTCGGACATTCTTCAGTGACTTCTGTGTTGTGACGATGACAGAGTATATGGATGGAAGAAGTGAACTAAACACTTTAGATGAATGATCTCACTCAATCCCCACAATCCCCTGATATTTCAGCAGATTAATGAAACTGAGGCACAGAGAGATGCATTGTCATGATTCATTTTTGAGAAGTGCTTCATTGCAGGGTACTGGTGACAGCCTGTTCCCCAACATGACAGGCTGCCTACATATACTTTATGAACGAGGAATCCTATCTTCCTCAGCCTCAGCGCTGTGCACATTCCACTGCGGGGTCTCGAGATAGGAATCGTGGTGGACATGAGTTCTGGGGACATGGGTTCGAGTCCAGAGTCTGTTCTATGAGATGGATGCTTTATTTAGGACAATGAACGTACAGAGTGCTCAGGATGTCATCCGGGTGCTTTTTTCTCATGCCTGCTGTCTTTGGTTTCTGTCTGTTCCTTAGCCAGTTACCAGGCAGCTTCTGCCAGCCTAACCCCTTCTAGCCAACTCTCATTTCCTGGCCGTGCCAGCCTGATTACTTCTAATTGTCTCTGACTGCTTCCAGCTGGGTCTTCTAGCTGTCCTTCTGTGGGAGCACACAGACAGCCCCTCAGCCATATGGAAGGAGATGGGGAAGGAGAAGAGGAAGACGGAAGCAGCTGGTCCAAGTCAACCGAGTCAGCTCTTTGAGGCTCTGCGGCCCTCTCTGATTGGTCATGTTTTTTAAAGGGTTAACTCATCCAAGTTGGAGAATGGCCCTTCTTTGACAAACGATTATATTTGTTGGTCCCCAAAGACAACCAACAACGTAACTAAAGATGCKCTTAGAGTTATTAGTAATGTCTCCCCCAGGATAGATGGGGTCTTGCTATCAGGAGCAAGAAAACTTCCCTTGAGAGTTAGTGAATGATTATTTTCATTCATTCCACAAATAGTTATTGAACAATGACCATGTCTCAGGCACTGTGCTTTAGGCACTGTAGGGCAAATAAAAATAAAATCACACACAGCCTCCTGCTCTTCATTAATCTAAAAGTGAAGAAAAACATTCATAATAGGTGAAATGCATGCTATGGAGTAAGAAAAGGGTGATTAGTTTCTTGCAGCTCATTGGTTAGAGAGGAGGGACAGGGAATACCTGTGCCAGATGAGAACGGGTCAGAGACAGCAGACTGGTGGTGAGTATAGCATGGGTAAAGGTGTGGAARTAGAGAAATCCAAACCTGCAAGAAGATAGCTGGTATGTAATGCCCAGAGAGATCCCAAAGGTGGAGAAGGCCAGAATTGAGTTTGGGCTAGTTCTAGTCAATCAGATGTTTCCTGCATCTCTAATATTAGGGCAATGCCATGTTCTGTGTACTAATTCCGGAGTCACTCCTTATTAAACATGCCCATTTCAGAGATCAGGACCTGTAGTTCAAAATGCAGTTGCTAAGCCTAGGCAGGGTAGGATTTGGACTTCTCTTTGGCATCCATCCCAGTTGATGGAATTAGCAGTGAACTTGAATCAAACCCAAGCAGCAGGCTTGAAAAATATTTAATAGGCCTGGATTTTCTCTCCTTTTCACCCCTTTCCTGACCTCCACCTTGAAAGGATAATTGAAACATTTTAGGAAAGAAGATCTCTATTTCATTGTGTCTTCCACAATTTGCATGGAGTTTTGTTTTGTTTTTGCCATAAAGACACTTTGATGAACAATCTCTGAAATTTGMCTTTAAACTGTAATAAATAAATCTCTAATTTTTCATAAAGAGTTTATGTCATAAAATTAAATTCTTTCAAAATTAATACAACGTTGGAGAGACTCCAAAACCTTTTCTGATGGAAGATTTAGAATGATTTTGATCCTAAAGTAACCCCCATATTCCTCATTCATTAAACATTTGTTGAACATCTACTCTGCGGGCTCTGGCTGGTCACCATCTCTCTCCCACGTTGCTTGTCCTCTTAAAATCTGATTACTAAATTAGAAAYGCGAAAGCCTGCAGAAATTGTAGATGTAGACCAGGGATTTAAAAAAAAAAACAGTCCCTTAAGCACAGCAAGAGAAAAAATTAAAGTGTATCTTTAATATWGGAAAATGGGAACAACCGAGCGAACCAACAGAAACCACAAARTGCTCCATCATAATAACAAGGTTGGTGATATGTGGCACGAGTGGTTCAAAGTACCATATTCGAAATCATATCTATTTAAAATAGAAAACTGGTGTTTCTCTGGGTTACYTTTCAGATGGTCTGGGAGCCCCCAAGCCTGGATTAACGACAGCTGTACGCCCCTCCCCCAGTTTCCCAGCACTGAGGTGGGTTGATGTCATACTTGTTTACTGAGGAGTAAGCAATGAAAGGAACTTTGTTAGGACCAAATCCGAGGTTAAGTTTGCATTAAACGCGGGCACCTCAACAGGTAGCATTTTACAAATGCCTCCCTCCTACCTACTCTGCAGCTTCTCCCTTAGAGAATTCCTCATTTTTCGGTTCAGGAAGATGTTGGAGATCCCGAAGAGGGTCTGTGTCGTCAGAGCAGCTGCAATTGTTTATGCGAGATGAACATAGCCCCAGCGCTCATAGAACAAAAGCTCCGAGGTGCGGCGTGCGCACGTCCAGCTCAACCTTGCACTCAAAGGCAGCATTTCAACCCGAGGCAAAGAAGGTGTAAATGTACTCGCAGAGGCAGCAGACGCCCTGATTCCTACGTTGCAGCCGCTACTATTACGCTGGCGGCTGCTCCTCCTCCAATACAGCAATCGGGTCTGCGTGTGAACCGGGGCACTCGTCCTGCCACCTCCCCCATCCTTTCTTGGACCCATCCATCTAGCCATCCATCCAGGGTCCAGCGGGTCCTACAGTACGCCAGGCTCTGGGCTGAGCACTCAACCCAATCCACAGTTCACAGGGTTCGGGAGCTTCTCCCTCCCTCCCTTCCCCACGCCCCGGGTGGGTGCAGCTGGTGGGGGGTATTTCACTGCCCAAAGGTCCAGAAAACCCAAACCCAGAATCTGGGTAAGCCGCAGAGACGAAGACTGCCCGACTTGGGCGGTCCGGGAGCGCGCGTCTCCGAGGCCGCGCAGGGTCCCCCAGTCTGGCGCTCAGGTGGCTCCGCCGCCCACTTCGGCGCTCCCCTCCCCTTTCCAGCTAGGGGCGAGTTTGGCTGTTGCGCGCGGGGAAGGAGGGGCTACGAGGGATTTGAAAGTGCACAGGCTGCGGAGTGGAGCTCGCATCTGTTCCCGCCGCCCGCGACCGGATTAAATTTCTGCAAATTCAAACTGAATGGGGCTTTCTTCTACTGCCTTCCAGAGGGCGCTTGCAGCCCGCCGCGAGTTCCTCTCGGGCGGGAGCGTCTGCCCAGCGCACGGCTAGGAGCAAACCAGCCGGACCCGAGCCTGTGAGGGCCAGACGGCTGCTGCGAGGGCGGAGGCGGAGGCGGCGCCCGGACTCCGGGACCCAGCCACCGACCGCACCTCTTCCCTGGCGTGCAGATCCCTGAGAGCCCGAGAAGGGGGACTGTCATCAACCCCCTGGACGGTATCGGGGGCGGCATCGCGGGTCCTGAAAGGAGCCCGGGCGACCCTCGGAGGAAGAACTTCTTGGGGGCGGGTCCAGGAACGCCCCGTCGCCTGGGCGGCCGCTATTGTCTGCGCGCTGCTCTCGGTGGCGCGGGGGGCGTGAGCGCGGCGGCCCCAGGAGCTGGGCACCGAGACCCGGGCCGGGCGGGGCCGTGGTTGGGGTGGCGGCGGGAGGAGCTGGGCAGCTTGGGAGCCGGAGAAGGAGGAGCTGCACGCGCGGGAGCCTAGTCCGAGCGGCGCGGGCTGCGGGCAGGCGGGATGCCGGCGGCGGCGGGAGATGGGCTCCTGGGCGAGCCGGCGGCGCCGGGTAGTGGCGGCGGCGCGGAGGAGGCGGCCAGGCCGGCGGCGGCCTGTGAGGGAAGTTTCCTGCCGGCCTGGGTGAGCGGCGTGCCCCGCGAGCGGCTCCGCGACTTCCAGCACCACAAGCGCGTGGGCAACTACCTCATCGGCAGCAGGAAGCTGGGCGAGGGCTCCTTCGCCAAGGTGCGCGAGGGGCTGCACGTGCTGACCGGAGAGAAGGTGAGCTTCCTGGGCGCCGGCCTCTGGCCCGCGGGTTACKGGCTCCGGGAGGGAGCGGACGGCCGGACCCTGCAGAGAGCATGGCACCGGGAGTACCAAAGCATCGTCCCGGGCCAGGCGCCCCCCACTCCACCTGGCTTTTCTCTCTGGCCAAAAGAGGGGTCGAGCTAAACGCGCACTCAACCCTCTCCGTAGGGGGTCATCTGGCACCTACTGATGGGTGATCTGGGGTCATTTTCCTGGGGCGGGGTGGGGGGTGGCGACCGAAGTGGTCCCACGTATCCTTTTTGCTTTTYGAAAGGCGCCACCTGGCGGACACCAGAGCAGGGGGGTCAGGGCGCAGGAGTTCGGGGACTCTGTGCTTTCTGTGGGTAGGGGAGACAGATCCTTGGAGAGGCAAGAATAAGAGATAGAGGACCTGACTCTCCCGGGCGAGGCGGAAGGGCCGATTAGCCGGCCTTAGGGGTGGCTTAGGGTTTGATCCCTTTCTAGGCTCTGGGGAGGAGCTGGGGAAAGGCTGAAACCCTACAGATATTCCTCTTCACCTCTGGGCTGGGGCAGCTAGGGGATTTTTGTGCACAGAAGATTTCAGATACCCTCCCTACACTCCACCAGTCTGTTCCTCAACCTGCACTTCTCTCCATTTGCCCCTCCCACATCTGCATCCCATGAGCACCAGCCAATGCTCACCCCTACCCCTTTCTCCCCTCCCCCCCCCCACCCCTGGATTCCTCCCATCCCTGGGTGGCAGCTTTAGTGCAGACCCTGCTTCTTGCAGGTATAGATCCACACAGACTTTAGAGGTTGGGAGTTGTGTTCTTATCTTTCTAGAAAAGGGGCAAGTAAAAGAGGCCCTCCTCAAGACACGGAGGGACACCTCTCTAGCCAAGTCAGAGTGGGATGAGGTGATCCCTTTCCAGGCCAGGTGTAACTTGAGGAGAAACCCTAGAGACCACTTAGTTTTGAGGCTGGGTCAACCCCGGCTGTGAGGCGTCCCAGGCAGGGAGTTGTCCCAGACTTGGAGCTATTCCAGGCTGCCCGGCTTATGTCATCTAAGACTCAAGATTCCCCCCAGGCTGGGACTTGCTCACACTAAAGGGGAGCAGCCCCTCTTGGAGGGAGGAGGGAAGCTCAGGGCTTCCTAACTGGGCAAGTAGCYAGAGAGCCAAACCCTTCTGGCCTCAGAAGTGGATCCTCCATCCAGACTGCTGTGAACCTGTGCCCTTCCTGCCCTGCCTGCCTTCCTGCCCCAGCTGCTCCTCACCTTTAGTTTCCCTCCCTACTCCCCACCTTGTTCTGGAGCCCCTTGCATTTGAGTGCACACCCCCATCATCCTTGTAAATTGTCGTTTATTTCTGTAGCCATTTCGATGGGGGGACTCCTTTATTTTGGGTGAGTGGGGTAAGAATGAGGAGTTTTAAAGGTGCTCTGGACTTCTTATGAAATGTGAGGGTCCAGTATGAACTCACTACAGTAATCTTCAAAGAAAAAAATTTTAAAAAAAGCAAAAACAAAAAAAATCAAAGCCCTCCGAATTTCTACTCCAAAGGGAGCAAGGAACACCTTACTTCTTGGTTAGAGTGGGCTGTCCTCCTTACCTGTGGTGGGTCTGTTCAGGGCACATGGGTGTCGCGCTAATTGGCGAGCTCACTTCTGTCCCTGTGTAAATGGGTGGTAGCATTTTATCTCATTTGGAATGTATAGGATTCTGTCTGGTCCTGCATGTTTCCTCTCTAAACGTAGCAAAAAAAAAAAAAAGAGGTGAGTCCCATGCAAACCGGGTAGTGGCAAACATTATGAGTTCACTTTGGGAGTACACTCATCTCCCTGCCCTGCCCACAGCTTCTCTGGCTACTCTCCACTTTCCCTTGTTGGGCTGTGCTTCTGCTCCTCACCGGTACATTTTTGCTTCATAACATAAAGCTCTTGGCCTTGCTGAACTGCCTGGGGATGTATTCAGAGCTCAGCCGCTACTCGATACTCTGCTACTCGGAGTGATTGGGTTCTGGAGCCCTTTACTGGGCCCCCTTGGAATGCAGGGAATTGTGGCCCAAATGAGTTACAAATGAGGAGCTGGGTGACACCCCCAGTGTTCCGCTCCTCCCCCTCCCATTTTATCTTTCTTAATTGATGATTCTTACTTCATCTTTGCAATGAGAGGAGGTATTAATTGRATGTGAAATTATTTCCCTGGACCAATTGATGTGATCTAGTTAAGGACAGTGGTTCCTAGTGGGGAGGCAGAGGCCAGGGAGGGATGTTTATGTTGAAAAACTTGGTTTTCCAGCTCTGTTTCTCTCCAGCGTGAGAACCAGTGCTTCCATGGCTGTAAGTAAGCATTAGGAGAAATCTGGATTTTAGTACACTCTGTTGCTGGCTTTAAAGAAACAATGGTGTCATTCATAGCATTTATCTCCCAAATTCAGCACCTTTAATGCTTAACTAATAGATGTGGAGTTTAGCAGATTGTAGAGATTAAAATGTGTGGTGGTTTTGTGTGTGTATGTGTGTGTATGGGCATGGAGCTCTTGCATGCATGACTCTGCTTGGGAARGATCACAGAGTTAATGAGTCTCCATTCCCACTCTTGTTTTGGGTATTGCCTTAATAAGTTTGGACCAAAACATAGGTGAAAGCAACCTCAGGCTGTTTGCAACCACAAGTCCTTTTTAGAAGGAACAGGCTTCAGCTGTACTGAAGTGAGCAGATCAATCAGTGGCAGACCTTGATATGAAGGGAACCTGGAAGGCAACCCCCTTCCCCTATTTTTCCTCCTTTCTTGGGGTGCATACTTTTTAGATAAAGTACTTTTCTCATTTTCTGGGGGGGAGGGGTACCAGGGATTGAACTCAGGGGCACTCAACCATTGAGGCACATCCCCAGCCCTATTTTGTATTTTATTTAGAGACAGGGTCTCACTGAGTTGCTTGGCGCCTCGCTTTTGCTGAGGCTGGCTTTGAACTTGCGATCCTCCTGCCTCAGCCTCTGAGCCGCTGGGATTACAGGCATGTGCCATGGTGCCTGGCTTCTACTTCCTTTTTAAAGGAAACAGGCTATATGGAAAGGGAAATGAAATCATGAACATGATTTAGAAATAGATGTATCCTGCTCACCCACCGGAATGGAAGGATTCAGGGCAGGTTATCTTGGAAAATCAGTTCATGCAACAGGATAGGGAAAGAGAAGATGAGGGGTGCCCTGGGTTTCTCCTGTTTCGTAGCTATGATCTCAAACTGTGTACTTTGTGTTGGGTGATTTCTGCCAAAATCTGGAGTACTGGTGGTCGAAGGCATCTGGGGAGGTGGTGATGGTGGTGATGTTTGTGTGCGTTTTCAGTGTGAAGCACATTTCCAAAACGCTGTGAGTGAAATTCTCTGTTTTTTGCCTGGAATTACTGTGAGTCTCCATGACAAAGGAACCACTTTTTCCTGACTTTCTTTCAGGCTTTGATCCTATCTTATGCAGAGGCCTCTGTTGCTACTGGTGCTTGCAGGACAGTCCTTTACCTGCTCTGTCCTCTGAAGTCGTTTGTTTGGAAGTAATTTGAATCTAGATGGCCCTTTTAYTGCTTGAAAAGAAAGGATGGCTTTAGGCTGAGACCTGATTTTGCCCCCTCTGGTTTTGAGTTAATGTAACCTCTGTAAATCTGGCTTTAAAAATGAATATTCGCTTGAGCCTATGAAATTGTTAATTGGTACATTCTCATTCAGGGCTGAACTGAGTTGATGTTTAGACCAGGAAAATGATCATAGAATTAGATTCTGAAAAGTATCTCAATGACTTTGAGACAGAGAACCAAGTTGCAGAGCAGGAGCATGGAGTAAGGACTTGGGAAAACCTGGAGCACGTGTGCTTCCTGCCCCTGGTATTGGTAACTGACACCTAATGCACAGTCTCTGGCCCATAATAGATTATTATCACATTTGATAAAATTGATAAAATATAGTTAGACAAGCATTATTGAGCAAAGTGTAAATGTGTATTGAGAGTAGAGCTGATTTGAAAGGCAGGCAAAACTCATTATAAGGGCAACCAGAGTCACCCATTACCTTCTTTTGAGATTAAGAGGCAAAATTGGGTACATAATTACTAGTTAGGATGTTTAAATATCTTGTTCTAACCTTTGGTTAAAGAAAGAAAAAAAGCCTGTTTATCACTTCATTATCTATTTGGGGCTAAAAATAAGGATTGCGCACTTAGTAAGTTGTCAATAATCACGCATAGAGCATGACAGTGACAGATACCTGGAGTGAAGGAGTTACTAAAAATACAATTTACTATGTTTTGCAGAGCAGGAAATATGACTAATTTTAGAGTTGGCCTTTTGGCAGATCTGTTTTTAGCAAGTATTTCTGAAACAAACAGGTGTTAAATCCTGTATTTCTTTTTAAGTGCTAGAAATTTAAGGGGTAATAGCTCTGGGAACAAGAAATGCTTAGAGAACTGGAAATTCCTATTAATCCCCAGCAGGGACTTCTTGGCAAGAAGGAGGCGTTTGCAAAAGCACCTGCTCAGTGTGTCCTGGGTGACAAGGCAGTGCCTATAATTTCCCAGATTGCATGCTGCAGTTGCGGGCACATTCTTTTGAACTTTCTGCCTGCCTCATCTTTTTGAAGTACTTGGGAATGGTGGAAATTGGCACATAGAGCTGGGTTCCTAGTGTTCATTGATACAGGTCCCAGGGACTTCAAAGGGTGGCTTCGAGTCAGCGTAACAGTGCAGAACGGTGCCCACAAAGAGGAGTACAACCCTACATTTTCTCTGCAGGAGTTGGTTCCTGTACATAACAATCAGACTCGGGTCTGCAAGAATAGAGAGTTGTGCATGCTGCCCATTGTCCCTGAGCAGCATGGCAATCATCCATCCCAGAGCTTACCTTCCCAGGAGGGGTTGGGAGTGGCCAGACATGCCCACCCAAAGAGWTGGGCAGGCTGAGTGTTTTCTGTAGGAAGGCAGTTTGGACTTGGAAGTATCCTTTCCCTGGGAATATACACCCTGTC